CTTTGAAGTTGTCATTGGATCATCTGTCTCTCTTCTGTTCCCTAAATTGATACACCAAGTCAAGAATCTTTCTTCTTAAGTCTCACTGATATTGTCAGTTGTAGATTCTCATTTTTCAAGTTATATATTGCTATGACTTATTCATTTATATTATGTTTCACTTTATGTTTTTTTCCTCTTTCTTCAGGCTATTTTATGCCTAGCTATTAGATTAAAATCTATTTCTATGTCCCTCTTTATATTTATTACTATAACATACAGTTAGAAAAGTGCCTGAATCACAGATGCTCAGCTTGATGAAATTTCACAAACTGAACATACTTATGTAACTAGCACCAGTAAATTAGTCATTAAAAAAAAATCACATTTCATGACCATGTTATTTTGCTTTAAAACCGATTAATTCAAGGAATTTGATCCTTAGTAGTTTCCTGAACAGTGGAATAGCAGGAAAACTGGTATGGCATCTTCTATCGCTTGCCACATATAGCTTGATTTTGGAGACTTTTTTTCTTAGCTTTGCCTCATAGTCCTTTATTTTTTTTTTTTGTCCCATATTGCTCCTACTTCCTGGAATGCATTTCCTCTTTGACTTTTTATAATCTAAATTATGGTCATTTTCCACTCCTATCTCAAATCTTGGTATTTCTAGGAAACTTTTCTGGGCTAATCTAGCTTTCATTATTATTATTTTTTTTCTTCAGAAATTCTTTAATTTATTTTTTGAAAAGGTAGTAGTATGAATATAGTCAGCACAAGAGTCAAATGTACAAAAGGGAATATAATGAAAAATCCCTCTCCCACTCCAGTGCCCAGCCATTGCGTGTTCTTCATGAAATATAAATATATTTTATATGTTTATAATAAAATATAAAATATATTTTATACTTACAAGGAAAGTTGATTTCTATCATTCTTCGTCTTTTTTATACGATGTAAATTCTGTGTCTCACTTTTTTCAGTTAGAAGTTTTTAATGATAGTTCCAGATCAATACACAAAAGATTTTGTCATTTTTTATTAGGACTGAATGATATTCCACTGAATGAATATACTATGATCACATCTACCACATATGATTGTAAAGGTTGGACACTGAACACATTCACATAGACTGTGATTTGAATGGCACTGCCTAGGATTGTTTCATTACAATCAGATGCAGCAGACTTGTTTGTAATTTACCTATCAGTTCCTTTTGATGGATCTTTCTGTTTCTTCTGTTATTATTACTTTAAACACTACTGAAACAAATAGTTGTATTTATGTCATTTGACATCTATGGAAGAAATTGTAGGATATCATTCCCTTAATTCCTAAAGTATTTATAATCTCTACAAATTTAACAATTAGAAGAGGTGTTAATTTTTTAAGGAGTCGTTTTTAAAATTCTTATCATTTGTCATTCCTTAAGGAGTGGACTATAAATGAAATTATTTTATATTTCTAGACCTAGAATTACTGCCTTTAGGATGGGTGGAGTGTTTCTCGTATAGCTGCTAGATTCTAGTTCCCTCTTTATCCTTTTGAGCTCTTCATAATCCTTTTGAAGTTCCTGATAATGGAAGAAATTATCAAAGTTAAGATGAGAGCTAGATGTATTTAGAAGTAGAAGTGATATTTATCCCAAGTTATAGAATAAAATGAACCACAAACTCAGATGTATTTATTTATTTAAATTTTTTTTTTTAAAGAGAAGATTTTATCAATTTATTCATGAGAGACACACAGAGAGAGAGGCAGAGACATAGGCTGAGGGAGTAGCAGGCTCCCTGCAGGAAGCCTGATGAGGGACTCCATCCTAGGACTGTGGGATCATGACGTGACCGAAAGCAGATGCTCAACCACTGAGCCACCCAGGTGCCCCTCAGATATAGTTCTAATTTTTTTTAAAATTTATTTATGATAGTCACACAAAGAGAGAGAGAGAGAGAGGCAGAGACACAGGCAGAGGGAGAAGCAGGCTCCATTCACCGGGAGCCCGACGTGGGGCTCAATCCCGGGTCTCCAGGATCGCACCCTGGGCCAAAGGGAGGCGCTAAACCGCTGTGCCACCCAGGGATCCCGATATAGTTCTAAAAAAAGGAAAATATTTCACATTTCATTGGTTTCAAAAATAATTTCTTATTTTTTCATTGAAAACATAGGTTGAAGTAGAATGTGTCTTTACTAAGGCTTAGATGAGCTGTAGGTAAAATAATAGAAAAATCTTTGTAAACTTTTGTGTCCTATAAAGATACACTGTATGAAAGTAAAATTTTTAAAGCTACTACGTCCAAAGTAAAAAAAACTGGAATTCTCTTATTCCACATTAAAGTGAATAAGTCCATTACTTTGTATTGACTTAATTATGTTAAGGTCCATTTGGTTGGACCTGGTTGCTACTTCAGGAACTTTGATGTAGTACAGTTTTCCACAAACTTTTTTTCTCTCCTCTACTTATTTGATAGATCATAAAACTGGACAGTTTTCTGCTGGGAAGAAATTGTGATTTGTTCTCTATTTGTAAAACCCATATTTTTACCATCTCTTTAGATGTTACCACTGAGGTTAGAAACATAAAACTCTTTCCATTTTTCCTCTATAGCTTAGAGGATCTCAGCTGAATTAACAAAGTGACTTCTGGTATGGATAAGCCAGAACTAAAAATAAGAAGTGTGTTTTTTCATTTCTTTTAACAGGCCCTGAAAGATTCATTGCCTGAAATTTTAGAAGTCTGGAGAACAAAATAAATGCTATCATAGTTTTCGGGATTTATAGCAAACAAGCAAGATATTTTGAGGAAATTTCTGAGAACTGACCTTTAGATGATTATAAGTTATGCTGTAGTGATTTTTTAAAGCAACTTTATTGAGATATAACTCACATGCTGAAGAATCCACCCACTTAAACGGTATAGTTCAGTGGTTTTTATTCTGTTCACAGAGTTGATTGATTATATTGTAACTTCTATCAATACTTTGTTCCTTTTCATTGCTGATATTATGTTGTATGTATATATTGTGTTTTATTTATCCATTCATCAGTTGATTGATATTTGGATTATTTCCACTTTGTAACTGTTATGAATAGTTTTGCTGGAATATTGATGTATGAGTTCTGTGTGGGCATATGTTTTCATTCCTCTTGGAAATATATGCCAGAGTGGAATTTCTAGTTCATATCATAGCTGCTTTTAACCTTGAGGAATTGCCCCATGTTACATTTCCACAAGTAGTATATGAGGGTTCTCATTTCTTCACAGCCTCTAACACTGGATATCATCTGTCATTTGATTAAAGACATCCATCCTAGTGGTGTGATGTGGTATTTCACTGCGGTTTTGTTTGGTATTTTCCTAATGGCTAATGATAGTGAATATCTTTTCATGTGTTTATTGGACATTTGCAACTCTTGTTTGGAGAAATGTTGATTGCCCATTTTAATTGGTTTATCTGCCTTTTTATTACTGAGTTGTAAGAATTCTTTGTATATTCCAGATGGATGTTCCTTATCAGATAGGTATTTGCTAGTGTTTTCTCCCATTCTGTGTTCTTTTCGCTTTCTTAATGACCTGTAGAGTACAGAAGTTTAAAATTTTGATTAAATGTAATTCACATATTTTTATTTTGTTGCTTCTTCTTATGGTATCATATCTAAGAAATCGTTTCCAGAGCCAAGATCACAAAGATTTACTACTATGTTTTCTTCTGAGAGTTTCAAAGTTTTAGCTCTGATATTTAGATCTATTATCCCTTTAGAGTTAATTTTTTTAATGTATGGCCTAAGGAAGGCATCTTGCTTCATTCTTTTGCATGTGGAAATCCAGGTGTCCAAGCACCATCAGTTGAAAGACTTTTTATTCTAAATGAAAAGACTTGGCATCCTTGTAGAAAATCATAAATGTGAAGATTCACGTCTGGACCCTCCATTCTATTTCATTGATCTCTGTCTGTCTGTGTGCCAGTACCACAATGTCTTGATTATTGTAGCTATTTATTAAGTTTGAAATCAAGAAATATGAGCCTTCTAGCTTTGTTCTTCTTTTTCAAGATTTTTTAAAATAAAGTTTTCAATCTCTGAAAAAAAAATCCATATGTTAGTATGGATTAAGTTAAATCTGTAGGTCAAATGGGAGGGGATTGCTTTCTTAACCATATTAAGTCTTTTGGATCCATTGACATAAGTCTATTTATTTAGGTCTATTAGGTCTTCCTTAATTTCTTTTAACAATATTTTGTAAATTTAAGAGCACAGGTTTTTAATGTATTTTATAAAATTTATTCCTATTTTGATCTTTTTGATGCTGCTGGGTATAGGATTTTTTTTTTAAGATTTTATTATTTATTCATGAGAGACACAGAGAGAGAGGCAGAGACATAGGCAGAGGGAGAAGCAGGCTCCCTTCAGGGAACCCAATGTGGGACTCGATCCCAGGACCCTGGGATCACGACCTGAGCCAAAGGCAGATGCTCAACCACTGAGCCACCCAGGTGCCCTATAGGATTGTTTTTTAATGCCATTTTCAGATTGGTCATTGCTAGTGTAAAGAAATACAATTGAGGGGTGCCTCAAATACAATTGTCTTTGCCTCTCTCTCTGTCTCTCATGAATAAATAAATAAAATCTTAAAAAATAAAAAAAATACAATTGAGGTTTATATATTGATCTTGTATTTTGTGATCTTATAAAGCTCACTTTTAATTCTAATACTTCTTTTTTATTACATTCCTTAGGATTTCCTCTATACAATCTCATGTCCTCTGTAAATAAAGATAGTTTCACTTCTTTCTTTTTCAATTTCCATGGAGATTATTTCATTTATCTCCTTGTACTGGCTAGAACCTCCAGCACAGTGTTCAGTAGGAGCAGTGAGAATGGGCATCCTCATCTCATTCTTGATATTTGGGTGATGAAAGCATTAATTTGTAGTGATTTTTTTACCCTAAAAATAGGCCATAACTTTCCTTTGAAGATAAATTTCCTTTTAAGACTTTTTTTTTCTTCTGTTTACATACACAGATATGTGCTGATTAGAAGGTTCACAGCGCGGTGTGGAGGATAAGACAGTGCCTTACAAAAATGGGGTTTGGGAGTGACCTGAAGAATTCACATGAAGCTGTGCTAAAATTGCAAGACTGGGAATTACGGTTACTGGAAACAGTGAAGAAATTTATGGCCCTGAGAATAAAAAGTGATAAAGAATATGCATCTACTTTACAGAACCTTTGTAATCAAGTTGATAAGGAAAGTACTGTTCAAATGAATTATGTCAGCAATGTATCCAAGGTAAGGAGAATAATTTCATTATTTATTGTGGATAGCATCATAATTGTACTTAGGGCAAATAGATCACACTGTTGAATGAGCATACCCAAAGTAGCACTCTCAAATAGTAGTTTGAAAATCTTGTTGATTATCAGAATCTCATGTGGGAAGTTTCAAAAATTATATACATTTTGTACCCTACCTCTTGAATCTGAGTTAGTAGGTCTGAAATTTTTGAATTTTGAAATTAAAAAATAGATTATTATAATGATTTTGGATGAGAGCCACTTTTACAAATTTTGTTTCCTTTATTACTCTATTTCCTTGCGTCTCTTGAGACTTACTATTATCTTTTGAAATAAATATCCATTAAAACCCACCTTCCCTGAGTTCTTCCATGAATCATTCGTGTAGTGAATCATATAGAGGTTTTTTTTTTTAATATATATATATTTTTTATTCATGAGAGACAGAGAGAGAGAGAGGGGCAGAGACACAGGCAGAGGGAGAAGCAGGCTCCATGCAGGGAGCCTGACGTGGGACTCCATCGGGGTCTCCAGGATCACACCCTGGCCAAAGGCGGCGCTAAACCGCTGAGCCACCCAGGCTGCCCTCATAGAGAGTTTTTGTTTGTTTTTTTTTTTTTTTTTTTAACACATAGCATTCTTTGCTATCATTCATTACTAAAGTAATAATATACTGATGAGTTCATCACACTAAAAAACTCTTTGGATACACAATATGGTTTTTTTAACTCTCAGATTATAAAAATATAATAAAAAATTTAAAGTTAAGTGCCATGAAAATAAAGGTCAAATTGCACTGTTAATTGTTTTTTGAGGGCAATAAAGATGAAATATTATACACCTTAATAGTTCTTGGGATTTCTTCTTTATTTATTCCCATTTTCTTACTTAAAAATCACATTTCACTATACTTATTTAAAGTTAAAGAAAATCTTCCTTGCTTTACTTTGGAAAGTTAAAAAGTAGTGTATTTATTTTACTGTACTAATATGTCTTAGGATTTGAGTAAATTTTGGAGGAAACTGTTCCCTATGGAACATGTGTGCGTGTCTGAATGTATGATCAGGTCAGGATCTGTGATTTCATTGAGAGTCCCTTAATGTTGGCATCTTTAACTTCCTTTCCTAAGGCCAATCTGGATCCCCAAAAAGGAATTCTCTAGTCTCTAGTCTGAAAATGGGGTTGCCAGACATAGCAAATAAAAATATAGGACAGCAGTTAAATTTTGCATATAATATTTGGAACATACATGCACTGAGAATTATTTATTGTTTATTTGAAATTCGTATTTAACTTGTCTTACGGGCAGCCCTGGTGGTGCAGCGTTTTAGTGCCGCCTGCAGCCTAGGGTGTGATCCTGGAGACCCTGGATCGAGTCCCACATCAGGCTCTCTGTATGATGCCTGCTTCTCCCTCTGCCTGTGTCTCTGCCTTTCTCTCTCTCTGTCTCTATGAATAAATAAATAAAATCTTAAAAAAATAAAATAATAAAAAAATAACTTGTCTTACATTTGGTTTGACCACCCTATCATGTATGAGAATTGATAGGGAAAGTAGGTTGAGTGTTCTAAGAGTCATACTTCAGTTAATCTTCCTGTTTTTGGTAAGCTGCCTGATGTCTCTTAGTCCAGAGGCTCTTTGGTTTATTTTCTCCTCTTGTTTTCTTCTGAATTGGGGGAAGAACAATTACATGTTTGTGTGGGCTGAGCAATAGAAATGAGAGATGTGTCTGCTCCTTATAAAGACTTTGAATCAATTCTTCTGTTTTAATATCGTCTCCTCTTCTTTCATATAGGTTTCTCCAGTTTCTGAGCTTTACTTTGATTATAGATCTGACCCTATTAATTAGCCTTTTCTTCTTTTTATTTATTGAGAAATAATTGACATACATGCATCACTGTGTAAGTTTAAGGTATACAGCATGATAGTTTGATTCTGATTATTACAGTATGTTTCATTAACATCCATCATCTCATATAGATACAATTAAAAGAAAAAAATCTTTCTGTGATGTAACTCTTAGGATCTATGCTTAACATTTCTATATATCATATAGCCGTGTTAATTATAGCCATCATGTTGTATATTATACACCTAGTACTTCTTGATCTTTTTTTTTTTTTTTTTTTTTTTTACTTCTTGATCTTTTAACTAGAAATTTGTACCTTTGACCACCTTTTTCCCCTACATGGCCTTTTCTTCTTGACCTACTCTTGACCTACACTTTGCCCAACACTTGTGTTTCAACGTTTCTTGATATGCTGATCAGTTACCATTTACTTACTTTTCATTTTCTTACTTTTTTTGGCATCATATCTTATCTGTTGTTGCCCCTTGTTCTATTTTCTTTGTTATTGTGAATTTATACTTTAAATAACTACATTATTATAATATCCCATTGTTTTAGTGGGATTTTGGGAAGAAGTGGAACATAGCCATGTGTTCTATTTACCATGTTGAATTGGAATTTTACTCTTTAGAGAAGTAAGATAATGAAAGAAGCAAGAAATAGAATTAATAAGTAAGAAGGTTGAAGATTTATGAAGTCAGGCCAATGGAAGAATCATCAGTGTAGACACTGCAGTGTCAGGTATTTTGATGAGGGATAGATGGAGACAAATACTAAAATAATTTAGAAAGGCAGGAGAGTTTTGGGAATGGGAAAGGGGGTTGGGAAAAGTGATAAAGATTGGGACGGATGGCTTAAACAGGCAGGATTGCCTTTCAAAGAGTAAATGTTGAGAGATAACAGTGAACAATGGTTGAAAACCCAAAGAAAAGCAAGGAATGTGTCAGCCTTTCCTCTTAACACTGAAAAGTCATCATTTATTCTACCTTAAACAAGTCCAGTATATCAATTTTTTTTAATTTTATTTATTTATGATAGGCACACAGTGAGAGAGAGAGAGAGGCAGAGACATAGGCAGAGGGAGAAGCAGGCTCCATGCACCGGGAGCCCGACGTGGGATTCGATCCCGGGTCTCCAGGATCGTGCCCCGGGCCAAAGGCAGGCGCCAAACCGCTGCGCCACCCAGGGATCCCCTCAATTTTTTTTTCTTTAGAGGGTTGTGTCATTAGTTAATTTTTGTGTAAGGGGCAAGGTATGATCAAAGTTTTTTGCAAACGTATCCATTTGTTCTAGCAGCATTTGTTGAAAAGATTAAGCTTTCTCCTTTGCTTCTTTGTTGAATGAAATCAATTGACCATACTTTGTGAGCCTATTTCTACACAATTTATTCTATTCCATTTGTGTTTTTGTCTAACCTGACACCAATAACACAGTTTTTATTTTGGTGTTTTATAATAGTCAAAGTCAGTAGTGTAATTTTTCAGTATTTTTTTTTTTTCTATCAAAATACTTCTGGTTATTTTAGTTCCTTTGCAGTTTCATGTGAATTTTAGAATTAGCTTGTCAATATTTATTTTAAAAAATGCTACTGGAGGGATGCCTGGGTGGCTCAGCAGTTGAACATCTGCCTTTGGCTCAGGGCGATATCCTGGGATCCCGGGATCAAGTCCCACATTGGGCTCCTGTGGGGAGCCTGCTTCTCTCTCTGCCTGTGTCTCCGCTTCTCTCTCTGTGTGTCTCACGAATGAATAAGTAAAATCTTTAAAAAGGCTACTGGAGGGCAGCCCTGGTGGCCCAGTGGCTTAGCGCCACCTTTGGCCCGGGGTGTGATCCTGGAGACCCGAGATAGAGTCTCGCGTTGGGCTCCCTGCATGGAGTCTGCTCCTCCCTCTGCCTGTCTCTCTCTCTCTCTCTCTGTCTCTCTGTCATGAATAAATAAATAAAATCTTAAAAAAAAAAGGCTGCTGGATTTTGACTGGAATGCAGTGACTATATAGATACATTTGGGAAAAATGTATATACCTTAACAATATTGGGTCTTCCTGTCCATAAATGTGGTGTTTATTGTCTTTAACTTTTCTGAGTAGTCTTACAGTTTTCGGTGTATAGGTCTTTCAGATTTATGTGTATTTTATATTTTTTGATGCTCTTATAACTGTATTTTTTTAAATTTAATTTTCCGACTGTTCGTTGTTAATATATATATACACTAATCTCATAACTTAAACTTTGTGAAACTAGCTTATTTGTAGCTTTTTTGTAGGTTCCATTGGATTTTCTACACAGGTTGATTGGGTCTTCTGCAAACAAAGACAATTTTCCTTCCCTTCCATTTGTTTGCCTTTTATTTGTTCTTCCTGAGTTTTTGCACTGGCTAGGAACTAGCACAACCTAAATGTGAGTATAGACAACAGATGCCCATGTCTTGTTGCTGATCTTAAGGAAGACACATTTAGTCTTTTTACCATAAGTATGCTGTAAGCTGTGAGTTTTTTTGTAGCTATCTAATATAAGCTTGTGGAAGGTTCTACTACTTAGTTGAGTTTTTTCATGCATTGATGTTGGGTTTTGTCAAGTGGTTTGTTTTTTTCTGCTTAGATGATTGTATTGTATTTTTTTTCAGTTGATATATTGAAACGTGTTCACTGATTTTCAGATGTTTCAAATGTTAGAACAATCTTGTATTCCTGGATTAAACCCCACCTAGTATTATATATTGTATCTTTTTTTAATCTTTGGATTCAGTTTGCTAAATTTTTTTTTTTTTTTAATTCTTGTCTCAGTTATATTGGTCTGCAGTTGTCTTGTCATGTCGTATGGTTTCGGTATCAGAGTAATGCTGGCCTCATTGGACAAGTTGGGAGTATTTTTCTCTTTAGTTTTCTGGTGAAGTTTGTGTAGAATTTCTTTTATTTCTTACTTAAATGTTTGATAGAATTCACCAATGAAGTCATCAGGGCCTAACATTTTCTTTGACAGGAGATTTTTAATTAAACATTTAATGTTTAGAAGGCTATTCAGATAGTCTTTTTCTTCTTGAGTGAATTTTAATAGATTGTGCTTTTCAAGGAATTTGTTCACTTTTGTCTAAGTTGTCAAATTTTTTATGTTATTATTTTCCATTATTATCCTTTTAATACCTTTTT